ATTAGTGCCCATTCGTGGGGTATTAATCCTCATTAATGTCATATATGACTTAAGGGCGTAGGTTTTTCATATTCATATTTATTTCATTTCCAACAGAAAGGTAAACAAAGATATTACATTTTATTTCATACATAATTCATTTTTTCAAGAAACTATACAAATAAACTTTGCACATAATAAAATAATTACAAGAAATTCTTAATTTCTGAGGAAATGGGGGGGGGGGGGATCCACTAAAAAGCAGTGCTTGTAGTATGTGGATCCCCCAGAGGTTCAACTAGGTTCTCTAGTTGAAAAGCATAGAAGCATACACATGCTTTAGCAGTCACGCAAAACAAACACTGGCAAATTATTATTCAATAAAATCTGAGAATGTATACTATTATCTAGATCTATTAGGAATAAATCATTGTAAAAATAATTCCATAAATTGGGGTAAAAAAAAGTATTTCGACTCTATGAGCGACAGTGTACATGTTAGAAGTAGGCTACTTCAACAAATGAATGTTCTCTTAATCAGTTTATCATAATTATGACTGTCAAATGATTTAACATTAGTGAACGTGGCCTGCTGGTGTTGCAGCTAGCTTTGACAGCTCAATAGGAAAATTCACTACGATATAATTCAAACTGCGTGTGTGTGGGTGGGTGGGTTAGTAGTGCGTGCGTGTCTGTGTGTGGGTATGTGTGATTGGTGTTTTACTGACGTGTATCAATTATATTCGATTATATACGTCTAAGGACCAGTGGCGGATCCAGGGGGGGGGGGGGGGCCCGGGCCCCACCCCCCTTGAGAAAAAAATCATGTAAAATCACGTGATTTTTACCTTTTTTGGGGGTTGGGCCCCCCCCCTGGCGCTCAAGGGGGGGGGGGGGAAGATCAAAAAAAAAAAATGTGCTCAATAGCCCCCCCCCCCCCACTGAGCGACTTTTCGGCCGGCGCGATTTTCAAATTTTCGGGAGCAAAAAAAAAAAAAAAGAAAGTTGGGCCCCCTCCCCTAAGAAATCCTGGATCCGCGCCTGTAAGGACATCAGTATCGAACCGGGGTCTGCCTGAGTCAGAATGTATAACCGGGGTGGTGATCTAATCAGGAGTGTAATATTCTTAGGATCATACTAAACATACCGAAGGTAGGCCTTTCGACGGATCCATCACCCACACATCAAAGAAGTATATAGAATCATGAATCCTGAAATAAGTATAGACGTCATACAGCTCCTCTGGAGAACTAATTGATGCTAGAAAACGGCCGGGGCGGTTTGGGCATGTTGTCTCCGCTCTAAGGGCCGTTATTGCGTTACGATGGAACGAGTAGCAAGAACCGGTAACCTCGTGCATTCCAGACTGGCAATCTGGAAAATCAAAAATATCATTCAATAATAATAATTATATTTGCTTATATAGCGCCTAACACTTACTTTATCAGAAGTCTCTAAGCGCTTTACAGTGATGCGGCATAATGATACTGGCATTAGCTGTCACGTGGTCTGCGTTTCAAGAAATAAATTCCTACCAGGTTCCATTTACTTCACCTGGGTGGAGTGAAGCACAATGTGGATGAATTTCTTGCTGAAGGAAATTAACGTCCTGGAGTGGGATTCGAACTCACAACCTTATGATTGAAAGACGAGAGTCAGAACCACTACACCATGACGCTTCCACACGATTCAAAAGATTCATCCTTCTTAAAGAATAAAAGTTAAAGGAAAAATTGAAAATAGTTTGAAGAGGCAGGGTTCTTGAGATCATTATTGTTCTCGATTTTGAGCTCCTACACCCTCTCGAATCCAGGAAGAAAAAAATCTAACAAATTCTCTCTAACGATCCGGATAATGTCGAAGGAGTTATGTAATTCTTGGTCCAAGCCCCTATCAGCGATTTGCAAGTCCTCACAACCTTATCTCAATAATTATCTGTAGCAGCGAGATGAGTTTATGAAAGTATTTGCAACATTTCAGCTCAAAAGACTGTGTTTTCCCATGTAAAAGACTGTATACATGGGTGATATTGAAGCTCTCATTTTGTACACATCTCAAATGGGATGGATAAAACACTCGCAGTTGCAAAATTCAAATTTGAAAAGAAAAGTGACTGTAATTTCGCTAATAATTAATATTTTGTTAGTTGTTAATTCCATACATACCTCCACTCGCAAAGCCGAACAGCATATAACATATTAGATGTATCATCATGACAACATTAGCACAATATAACGATCCCATGTTGAATTATTTTCTCATCCAACTCTTTCGAAATCCAAGTTAAGTTGTGTCATCAAAAACTAAGATGATCTTCAACAAAAACAAATGGTCAGTTGTCTGCACATTTCATCGTGTTGGAGATGAAAAAGGTAAAATCGTTGATGGCGTTTATCATTCCTAATAACCTGCAATACTCGAAGGTGAAATGATATCTTCCAAGTTTAATTATCACTCCGTCTCAGTATGACGTGGTTTAGAAATGTATTGTCGAAACAATTGGTCAAATACCAACCACAATTAACTGCCCTTTGGTGGAGAATTTGCTTGCATCTTCACTGCACACGTTCATTGTGTCATGTATGTAAAGTTGTAAACCTGTAGGCGGTAAAGAAATTTAGAGGTTTTAATCTTGTACAATATGCAACTTATGATTTGAATTTTTTTTATATGAACAAACACATAAAAAAGTCGAACAAAATCATAACATAAAAGTTCTCAAATTGGTCGGGTAGGGGGCGGGGGACACTAATACAGGTATTTAAGCTTTGGTTAGCCGGGGGCACATGCACTTTGCCCCAATCCAATCCAGCCTTGATCTGCTCAAGTTCATTTGATACAAGGCAATGTATATTTTGCGGAAGAAAGTTAATTATTTTCACCAGGAAGTTCATCAAGACATAGCCTTCACCGCTTCCTGAAATTATTTCTCCCTTATTACTTGGAAATTAATTGGGAGAAACGTAAGTATAGTATAATGATATTAAGTATCGTGGGCATTATTGAAGTTTTTTATAATTAGTACCAAACAATTCAAATGTATTACCCTCATATCAATATCGACATTAGCGCAAAAACACACTGAGGCAATTTGGTTTCTGGATATGATAGTAAAGAGTTTTGCCTGTTTCCCTCTCTCCTTTGTTTTCTATCACCCTTTCCATCCAACTCCCCCCATCTCCCTCTCTCTCTCCTTCTCTCCTTCTTCCTTCTTCTCTCTTCTCACTCCTCTCTTTTTTCTCTCTTTCTCTCTCTCTTTCTTCTCTATACTCAGTCTCCCATTCTTTATTCCTTCGTTTATCGGCCTAATCTTTCTCAATCACTTTGCTTTTGGATTATGTCATATTGAATTTTAATTTCCCAACACTCACAGCATCTCCATTAAAAAAAGAGCTCAACCAATAATCGTTTGCTCATTCTCGTCCCCCTCTTCTTTTACCTAAATGTTTGATTTCAATTTACTTATTGGTCTTTATATTTCAACCTCTCTCTCTCTCTCTGTCTCTCTTTCTCTCTCTCTCTCTCTATCTCTCTCTCTCTCTCTCTCTCTTCAATTTGTTTTCCCTTACGCACCATTCAGTATAACAATTCCAAGCCAAGTATAAATTTAATATGGGATCTTCGTCCTTAGATTGTATTCATCATTCATGATTTAAAGATAAAACTCTAAAATGACTCTTGGTAACAGTCATGAAATGAAAAAGTTAAATTCATATCCTACATGATACACTGATACAAAAAGGTTCAATCGTCAAACAACAAATAAAGCAAAATAAGAACACACCATTGGATTTTTCATTACAGTTTTTATTACAAAATAAAACACAAAAAAGAATCGCCATCGTCACCGAGTTATATTACAATTCCCTCGGTTATCAAGATGTCTTTGAATGACGTCATTATTCTTTGTTCCTTCATTTTAACCAGAGTAAACAGGAAAGGTGGCACAGTAACTGAATGATGTTCTGAGACTAATTAACAAATCGTGTTCGACTATCGGAATTGTACATGACTGATAATTGTGCATAACGATGATATTAGCGGTTTAGGAGAGGGGAAGGGGATGGGGGCTCTTAATAATAATAATACAAAAATCTTGATTCTAATAGAATTAACGCGAGACACAATTATCGAATATGTACGCAAGAATCTCCAAGCCCCCCCCCTTTCTTCTTCTAGAACCGCGACTGACAATGGCGTATCCAGCAGATAATGAAGCCGGAGTATACCCCCTCCCCGCTTAAAGCCCGGGGGATCAATACAATATGCAAAGGGTCTTAAGCACGCGGGGCTGTATGCCCTCCCCCCCGGATACAATATGCCCTCTACATACCGCGTCAGGGGAATATTCCGCGGTGTGGCAGCCGATCATGCTCCCTGCCTAGGTGCGTCCGGGCGGACCTTATCGAATGATTTTCACCCACGGTTGCTGTCCATCGGCCCCTGACGGCCCTCTTGACTAATTTTTCCGGATACACCATCAAGGCATATACTCACAATAAATGTTTACGCACTGTTTAGCTCTGTGCGACCATTTGTAACCCCCTTCGATCGGATTAAGTAAGTGCGATGTGTCAGTGTTTGATCGCAAAGTTTTATTAAACACTTGCATAATCGCAGTTTTACGAATGATTTGACATGGACTACATACATATGATTTTAAAAAAATGTACACGAATTAATCAATAAAGGAATACAAAATCACAAGCATTTTCTAAGTACACAAATAAACCTTTGGACCTATTTCTACAAACGAGTACATGACACCGTTCATAATAATATAATGTGGGATTCCATAGGGCCTTCTTCATGCATCTCACAACGTCTGGACAGTGAAACGTTGATCTACATTCGCTGTTCGCTGTCCACAGGGTTATAGCGACCACACTGACAGACTACTTATAAGCAATAAGCCATTTTCTAGAGTTACATTAAATAATAATTAAATTGTGATTGATATTATCAGAGAAATGAGCGCTGTCTAATATAAACCATTTCATCGATATCTAGAAAAAGTACAATCATAAAATATGCTTAGTCATTTTGTACGTGTTACATTCCATGTTATTCTGTAAATTGTCCATACCCCCTGCAGCCCCTAGATAACACTTCTGATTGGCTGATGAGTAGGTGAACACGTGACACCCCTCCAATGAGCTGCACTTGACCGCGCAGTGTAATGGAGTTCGAATCTTGTCAAGGGTTCTTATCAAACTAGGTTCCTTCAGTGACCGGCCAGCACTGGCTAATGTAAACGAGTACTCTCTGTTTCTGGTGACTGTGGAAGATGACGTCAAGGTCGGAGTGTAAGGTATAAGTTGGCTCGTAGTGGGAGGACTCTCAGTAGTCACAACAGAAGTCTGAGGGTTTGTAGTCATTGAGCTTGTAGAGGTGCTCAAGATTGTTGTAGGATCAGTGGAAGTTGATGTCGTGGTCACAGATGTTGCCGGTTTTGTAGGATTAGTGGAAATTGATGTCGTGGTCACAGATGTTGCCGGTGTTGTAGGATCAGTGGAAGTTGATGTCTTGGTCACAGATGTTGCCGGTGTTGTAGGATCAGTGGAAGTTGATGTCGTGGACACAGATGTTGCCGGTGTTGTAGGATCAGTGGAAGTTGATGTAGTGGTCACAGATGTTGCCCGTGTGGTAGATGATGTGGTAGTATATTGGCTTGTAGTGGTAAGAGGCTCTATTGTAACTACAGCCACTGCAGTTGTCGGGGCAATCAATGTTGATGAAGTGCTCGACATTTGGAAAGTGGTCATGGCTTCGGTGACTACAGTTGTGGATACCTCTACAAATAAACGAGATGTTAAACAACTGTTGAAAATGAATTAAATTTGTTTTTGCTTATTCGGGCACCTCCTATCCAAATACACATGACTTGTCAAAGGCTATTCAGGCACCTTGCTGCCAGTATTTTCGGTGTTGGTTGCCTGAAAATCAGAGCTTTAAAATCCCAGGGGGGGGGGGGGCAGTCCCCCAACATCCCACCTATGTCAAATCAGGCATTCAATGAGGATAGAAAAATTGAATGCGGAGCAATTGTCGCTAAAACCATCGTGCTGTGTCTTATCTTAAAGGTGAAATTCAAAGGAGATCACAAATATGTCAACTAATGTATCACTGGAAACTGGTAAGCTAACAGATGGACATCGGACAAGTTTTAGGTCAACTATATATCGGGTGATTTATAAAAATAAAAATACAACCACCTCCATAGCAGCTGGGATATACGAGAGATTCGCCGGAAAAATAACGACGGTTTAATGACGTCACTATATGGACCAACACTGCCCAAGCAGACAACATCCCATAGAGAATGAACACAATTGCAAAGCTATTATTACTCAAATTATAATGAGTTTAGTGTATATAAATGTAATGGCATGTCAAACCATTCAAAAGGGGATATGACCCGATTCTGATAACTAAAATCTTTTGCTTGTAAATACACAGGATAGGGGTTAATTAACAAATATGGGTTAAAAAGTTCAGAGTTATATTGGATATGCATGCCCCTGTTAAAAGGAAGCGGGTTAGGCACAAGAAGTCACCTTGGATGGCAAGTGAAATACTGACATTAATTCGAGATAGAAATAAAGCCAAGCAGAAGGCAAAACGGTCTAAAGTAGACGCTGATTGGTCAAGTTATAAGCAATTACGTAATAAAGTTACTTCTTTTGTGAGAAGGGCTAAGCGAAAATACATTATGGACAGTATTATTGAGAACGTCGGGAATTCCGCAATGATGTGGAAAGTTCTGAGAGAATTGATACCAAGTAGTAAAAAAGTTACAACAATACAGAAAATTAATCTTTGTGGGGTAGAATACATTGGAAACAGCTCCATTGCTAATATAATGAATGAGTATTTTTCCTCACTGGCAACAAACCGTAAAAAAAACCGTTAAATTTAAAGATAATCCAGGACAGTTTATTTGTAAAGTAAACACTTCCTTCAATTTTGTTCCAGTTACCAGTGAAGATGTTAAAAAATGTATTAAAGAAACTTCTCGTAATAAGGCTACTGGTCTTGATACTATACCATCGAGTATTTTGAAGGATTCGTCGCTTACTATTGTTGAATATCTGGCTCATATAATTAACTTATCCTTACGTGAAGGCATTGTACCAAATGAATGGAAGTGCGCCAGAATAACACCTCTTTTTAAAGGAGGCGACTGCACCAACCCGTCGAATTATAGACCTATATCTGTGTTGCCAGTACTTTCTAAAATTTTGGAAAAGCTTGTTTTTCGGCAAACTTATAAATATTTGAATGATAACGACATATTGGTACAAAATCAGTTTGGTTTTCGACCACACTTTTCAACAGAGTTAGCTTTATTGAATCTAACAGAAAATGTGAATACAGCGATAGATACAGGTCATGTCATTGGATTGGTAACGTTGGATCTTGAAAAAGCTTTTGACATGGTGTCACATGATATTCTTTTACAAAAAATGAAGATATATGGTTTCAGCAATGAATCTTTACGTTGGTTTCGAGATTATTTTTCTCTGAGAAAACACATTACTATTATTAACGGTAACGGGTCAAAAGCAAACCAAGTATTTTGTGGCGTCCCACAGGGAAGTATATTGGGGCCACTGTTATTCATATTATACATGAATGATTTACCGCTTGTTGTCAAGCATTGCACTGTATCAATGTTTGCTGACGACACATGTTTATACTACGCATCTAGAGATCCAAATAGTCTTCAGTGTATAATCAATGAAGATTTAGGTGTTATTCATGATTGGTTATTGCATAATCAACTTATGCTAAATGCAATGAAATGTAAGTTTATGGTCATAGGAACAAAATGTAAACGTAAAGATTTTGAGAACATTAATGTCTGTATTGACAATTGTCCCCTAGAGAGAGTCGATCAATGTAAATATCTCGGTGTTATACTTGATACAGATTTTTCATGGACACCACAAATTGAAAGGGCGAAATCAACAATACTACGGAACTTTTTTGTCTTACGAAGAGCTAGACCATTTATTGATCAACGGACTGCTCCGCTATTATATAATACGATGATCCGATCTCGTTTTGATTATTGTAGTACGATTTGGATGAAACCCGAATCTGGGCACCTAAAGAAGCTTCAGATATTACAAAACAGAGCATTAAGAATAGTACTTTGGGTGGATTCTCGCTTCAGCAGACATGAACTTTACAATAGATTAAAACTTGATTGTCTCAATGTTAAAGTTAAGAAGGACCTGGTTATTCTGATGTACAGAATACTTAACAATGAAGTACCAGATATTCTCTCTACTAAAGTCATTTTGAAAGAAAGTAATTATAACCTTAGAAACAGGGAATGTACTATTAAGATACCTAAACCAAACACTAATTTTCTAAGAAACAGCACTCTTTATATCGCATCTCGGCTATTCAATCACCTACCCCAGTGCATCAGAAAAGAAACCCGGCTTTCAAACTTTATAAAGGCGATCGATGGTGTTTTCCCCCCTACGTTCTAATTGTTATTGTCTATCTTTGTCTATGTCTCTCTCCCCTCTCTCTTTCTCTCTCTCTTTCCCCCTCTTCCACGCTCTCTCGATCGTTCACTCAATCTACACCTGATGATTTGTTTTGTGATAAGGAGCTTGTGACTTCACTAAATTGTATTTCTCCTCAAATTTCTGATTGTTATTAAGAGTTATTTACACATTTGTATTTTTGTTATTAAGAATTTATTTATTTATTTATTTATTTATTTAGACATTTGTATTCTTGTTGTTATTTCCACATTGTGTATTCTTGTTATTTTAATTTGTATTATGAATTATATTTGTTTTGTTTATGTATATTGTGTGAATGTTTTTAACGGACTTGCTGAAAAACAGCCTTGTGGCTGATAGCAGGTGTTTTTAACCGTGGATAAATAAATAAAACAAACAAACAAACAAACAATCAAAGCAACATACTTTCAAATTGAAAACCCCCCGGAATGATATTGAGGACGGCATTTGTTCCCTCTTGAAACGCCGAACATACCCCGGTGTGTGCAGCTGAATATACAATGGCGTCCTATTTTGTTTACAAGCGACAGATTCCTTTATTTTTGTATCGCTGCATTTGTCGTCAAAATAAAACCATGCGCGGGGTTTAGAGTGAGGCAATATATTATACATTTAGCCTGACGGTAGTGAAGTAAGAGAAAGAACTCAAGAAAAGATGAAAATACAGGCACTGGAAATGTGTGAGATGTCAAGGGACATCGTCTGCTTGTGCAAGTCATGTCCATACTGTGATCTCACACATCTCAGCAGCGTTCGGAGAGCTCTTCAGGTGCTATGCCGGGATCTGTATTTAAGCGTTTTGTAATTTATAATAATCATTACTTCGAATGTTTCCAAGCATTGAATTTTGATTACCTTGTCGAATCAAAGTTTCAACTTTGCAATGATGAAAATAAAGTTAGTTTTTAAAATCAATGAATATCTACTTTAAAACTTTGCAAACGTGTGTGTGCGTGTGTGTGTGTGTGTGTGTGTGTGTGTATGTGTGTGCGTGTATCTGGAGGGGGGGGGGGTGAAGTTATACTGGCATAATATACGATATTAAAGGGCTCACCCATGTCGGTCTCGCATAAGAATTTGTGTGTTATCGAGCAGTCCTCACTTCGAAGCACGGAGCCATAGGCGATGACTACGCATCCGTTATCGCTCTGAAATAATATTCAAATTTACGTTCACTTTTATTTTCCATAGAATTCTTTTTTCTCCAAAGACATAATAGAATTTATATTTTGGTACACCATTTATTGATAAACTTATAAATAACAATATAAATAATCTCGTCCAATAGTAAAATCATGATAACAGTAAAGCATACGTGAAAGTTAAATACCAGATAAGGAATAGGTTTAATCGTTTCATCATTCACTGTATAAAGTATAGTTATTGAGGAGTAATTGTTAGAGTTAATTATTATAAAAGGTATATTTTGTTACCGAAGGTACTCCAATAGAAGCGTTCGTAGCCCATATAGCTAGTGCTGGTCTTCCACCATCCGGTGAAAAGTACTGAAAGACTGTATCAAGCTCCGTCTGGGAACCAAACGAAGCTAGATAGCGACCGGGACCGATGACCGGGCACTCCATCTCAGCTTCGTACGCTGTCTTCTCTACGGTGTTATCAAATGAGTAACATGACCCTGCTATCTCGTGCATCCCAGAATCACACGCTGATAATCAAACGAAAAAGGATGTTGTCAGATTAATCGTGTAGTATCCAGGGCAATTGAAGAAAACAAATATTTAAGTAAGTCCCTAGCAGACGCGGTTCTTGGACAATATTGGACTCGTCTTCGACTCGTTCAATATTGTCATAGCCAGGCACGTAGCCAGAGTTTGATGTTTTTTTTTTTTTTTTTTTTTTTTTTTGGGGGGGGGGGGGGGGGCACATACATGTAATCGATCGAGGTAAAAAAAGGGGGTCTAAAAAACTTCAACCAATCTTGGAGGGCACGTGCCCCCCCCCCCCCCCCCGTGTCTACGTGCCTGGTTATAGCTCGAGCAATATATTTTTGTATCACACTCAAAGCCATCCAATATTATAAAAATATTATATAGAACTCACCCATGTCGGCCTCGCATAAGAAACTATGTGTTATCGAGCAGTCCTCACTTCGGAGCACCGAGCCATATGCGATGACTACGCATCCATTACCGCTCTGAAATAATATTCAAGTTCACGTTCATTTTCATTTTTCAACAGAATTTTCTTTTTCTTCAAACAAATAATAGAATTCATTCATTGTACACTATTTTGATGATAAACCAAAACAATACTAATGAATATTTCTAACAGTATAATCGTGATAATATTAAGGCATAAGTTAATAGCAAGATAAGGAATTAAGCTGGCCATTTGAAGTATCTTATGACTGTTTGGACGCCATCTTGGACTTTTGGGGCTTCCCGACAAGCTACGGACACTTTAAATTTTCTTAATGGATTCCCTGACCCCCTAAGCCATGGGATAGATACCCACAAATATCTCTAGGGTGAATAATGAGTCAGGATTTAAGGCAATGTTATGTAACGGCTGCCTTCTTGGACGCTATCCTGAAAAATGGATTTCCGAACGTCCGATTTAAATGTGTAATATGTTTTTCCTGAGGTCAAATTCTATTAAAAACAGTTAAAAAACCTTTTGTTGCAATTTGTTGGGGTAGGGTTGTTTTTCCGTTGATCGACCAGACTAAATAGGTTTAAACGTTTCATCAGTCACTGTATAAAGTATGTTTTGAAGCAAACTATTATAAAAGGTATTTTTTGTTTTTCTGTTACCGAAGGTACTCCAATAGAAGCGTCCGTAGCCCATATAGCTAGTGCTGGTCTTCCACCACCCGGTGCAAAGTACTGAAAGACTGTATCCAACTCCGACTGAGAGGCAAACGAAGCTAGATAGCGACCGGGACCGATGACCGGGCACTCCATCTCAGCTTCGTACGCTGTTTTCAGTACGGTATTGTGAAAGGAGTAACACGACCCTGCTATCTCTTCCATCCCAGAATCACACGCTGAAAATAAAAAAAAGAAGATAATGTGTGATTAATGGAATATCCAGGGTAAAATTAAAAAAAAAAAAATGTGTAAACGGAGGTACCCGGCAGGAAGAATAAGGGGGAGGGAATTTTCAATTTTTTTTTTTTGGGGGGGGGGGAGGGGGCCTTCGGATTCTTGCATTAATTTTGTACATGTGCCGCCCCCGATATTTTTGATTTTTGTTGTTTATTTTGTTTGTTTTTTTTTTTGGGGGGGGGGGGGAAAGGGGGTCGAGGCTAGAATCGCCACTTCCTGGTGACCTCGCTTGCATTCGTACGTAATCATGTAAATAAGGGACAACCATTTTTTGTCATTTGAGAAAAAAAATTATTTTGAATTTTAAAAAATGCCGACAGAAAAATGTTGAAAGCAATAGAGAGGGGGTATCGACTTCATCATCCCGTCTTCCTTAAGTTACCCTTTAATTTTAATGCTATCTATTGTCATTTTGACATGAGACAATCCAGATGAACCAAATAAAAATGAAATTCACATAAAATTGTTGACCGGTGCAACACTATTGCCCTTTAAACGCAAGGCCCCAGTGTATTTACTTTCTTTTAAATCACGCAGCTTACAAAAGACAAGGCTCATAAATATACTAGCCTCGCTCTTTTTTCCCTTTATGTTGTATCCTATTCTAAAATGGTAACGGCATTATCATTATCATCATCATTATCATTATTATTATTATTATTAGTAGTAGTAGTAGTACATGTAGTAGTATATAGTAGTATAGTATAGTAACAGTAGTAGTAGAAATAGTAGAAGTAGTAGTAGTATTAGTAGTAGTAGTTATAGTAGTAGTAGTAATATTAGTATAGAAACAGTAGTAGTACTAGAAATAGTAGTAGTACTAGAAATAGAAGGAGTAGTAGTAGTAGTAGTAGTAGGAGTAGTAGTAGCAGTAGCAGCAGCAGCAGCAGGAGTAGTAGTAGTAATAGTTGTAGTAGTAGTATAGACATGATAAATACAGAATTGTTATATCAATGCCAAGTAAAAAGGGATAATAACTATTACAAAACAAAAACGAAAAATCAAAAAACACCGAAACTAGTGAGAAGGACATGGGCTAATGAGTACATACCTCCACTCGTCATGCCAAACAGCATCCCACAAATCACCATGACAACGTGGATGAGATGAAAACATTCCACCTTATCGGACATGATGTATTCACAGCGGCTCCATCATACATCTAACGTGAATCAAGAGCAGACGGTTATATGATGCATTTTAATTTACTTCTTTGTCCACTGTCCATGCATACGAATTTCGAAGAGGATGGATAATGAGGCCGAATATATTCCAGCATAACAAAATTATGAAACGACGTAATTTACGACGAATTGGGTTTTTCTCTTTCTCTTTCTTTTCCTCTCCTCCTCTCTTCATTCTATCTCTCCCTCTTTCTCTTTCTTCTCATTCTCTATACTCTCCCATTCCCTTTTCCTTCGTGTATCGGCCAAATTTTTCTCAATCACTTTACTTTTGGATTATGCCATATTGAGTTTCCCAACACTCACAACATCTCCATTTTAAAAAGAGCTCAAACAATTATCGTTTGCTCATTTTCTTCTCACCCTCTTCTTTTACGTAAATGCTTGATTTCAATTTACTTATTGGTTGATAGCTTTCAACCTCTCTCTCTCTCTCTCTGTCTCTCTCTCTCTCTCTCTTCGATTTGCTTTTCCCTTACGCACCATTCAGTATAACAATTTTAAGCCAAGTATAAATTTAATGTGGGATCTTCGTCCTTAGATTGTTTTCATCATTCATGATTTAAAAATAATACTCTATAATGACTCTTGGTAACAGTCATGAAATGAAAAAGTTAAATTCATATCCTACATGATACACTGATGCAAAAAGGTTCAATCGTCAAACAGCAAGTAAAGCAAAACTAGAACACACCATTGGATTTTTTTAATTGCATTTTTTATTACAAAATAAAACACAAAAAAAGAATCGCCTTCATCACCGAGTTAAAACTACTTTTTCCTCGGTTATCAAGATGTTGAATGACGTCATTATTCTTTGTTCCTTCATTTTAACAGAGTAAACAGGAAAGGTGGCACAGTAACTGAATGATGTTCTGAGACTAATTAACAAATCGTGTTCGACTGTCGGAATTGTACATGACTGACTGATAATTGTGCATAGTGATAAGATTAGCGATTCAAGAGAGGGGGAGGGAGGGGGGGGGGGTGGGGCTCTTAATAAAAAAAATTTAAAAAATCTGGATTCTAATTGAATTAACGTGAGACACAATTGTCGAATATGAATGCGAGAATCCCCAACCCCCCCTCCCCCCCCCCAAAAAAAAATGACCGCGACCGGACTGGCGTATCCTGCATAATTACAGTGAAGCCGGTGTACACCCCCGCCCCCGCTTAGAGCACCGGGGATCAATATAATTTGCAAAGGGTCTTGAGCACGCGGGGCTACTCCTCCAGCTACAACATACATGTCCTCCACATACCTCGTTAGGGGAATATTCCTCGGTGCGGCAGCCGATCATGCTCCCTCGCGTGGTGCGTCCGGACGGACCTTAGCGATTGATTTTCACCCACGGTTGTTGTCCCCGGCCCCTGACGGCCCCGTTGAACATTTTTTTCTGGACACACCACCAAGGCATACTCAAAATAAATCTTTACGCACTGCTTGGCTTTGTAAGACCTTTTGTAACCCCAATACGATCGGGTTAAGTACGTGCACGATGTGTCACTGTTTGATTGAAAGGATTTATTAAACACTTGCATAATCGCAGTTTTACAACTAGATTGACATGGACAGTGGACTACAAACATATTATATTTAAAAAGACATGTAAACGAATTAAACAATACAGGGATACAACAATACAAGCATTTTCTAATTATAATAATAAATCGTTAGACCTTTTTGTACAAAGGAGGAAATGACACCGTTCATAATAATGTGAGATTCCATTGAGCCTTCGTCATGCATCTCACAACCTCTGGACAGCGAAACGTTGATCTGCATTCGCTGTCTGCATGGTTATAGCGACTAAACAGACATACTATTAAGCAATAAGCCATTTTTAGGGTTACATAATAATAAAATTGTGATTGATATTAACAAAAAAATGAGCGCCATCCAATATAAACCCTTTCTTCGAGATCTAGGAAAAGTACAATCATAAAATATACTCAATCATTTTGTACGTGTTACATTCCATGTCAACCTGTAAATCGTCCATACCCCCTGCAGCTCCCAGACAACACTTCTGATTGGCTGATGAGTAGGTGAACACGTGACACCCGTCCAATGAGCTGCACTTGACGGCGCAGTGTAATGGAGTACGAATCTTGTCAAGTGTTCTTATCAAACTAGATTCCGGCAGTGACCGACCAGCACTGGCTAATGTTAACGAGTACTCTCTGTTTCTGGTGACTGTGGTAGATGTTGATGACGTCATAGATGACGTCAATGTTGGAGTGGTAGGTATAAGTTGGCTCGTAGTTGGAGGACTTTCAGTAGTAGTCACAACAGAAGTCTGAGGGTTTGTGCTCATTGAGCTAGACCGCGTAGTCACTGAACTTGGAGAGGTACTCAAGATCGTTGAAGGATCAGTCGTTGGGCTGGTTGTAGTAATTGTTTCCGTAGTTGTGACCGCAGTTGTGGGTATTGGCCCAGTCGTTGGGCTGGTTGTAGTTATTGTTTCCGTAGTTGTGACCGCAGTTGTGGATATTGGCTCAGTCGTTGGGCTGGTTGTAGTTATTGTTTCCGTAGTTTTGACCGCAGTTGTGGGTATTGGCTCAGTCGTTGTCACCTCTGAAAGTACAAATGATTCAAGGTTTGATGAAATTTATTTCTCTACCTTAAAATACCAATGATAGTTTACAAGACCTTGAATGAGAATCATACACGCAGCAAATGGCGCACCACACAGCACCACACAAAAAACGGACGACATTACCCTATATACGCAGAGGATTGCACTTGAACTGGAGCCAGGAGGAGAAGCCACCATGATCGGCACTAATATCCTTTGGCAAGATATTTACCTGCACTTGCTACTCTCCACCCAGGTGTTAAATGGGTACCCGGTAGGATGCGAACGTTCATGTGGTTGGACGAGCAAATGTGCGCCTGTAAAATGGCGACTGGTTTGAATGCTCCCCAGGGAGTGGAAAATGTGCACACATTGTGTGCGGGTAAGCCTGAATCCGATGACCGGGGTAATAATATATCTGTAAAGCGCTTAGGCACATCGTTGGATCGGTGTATTGAGCGCTATATATAAAAAACGGATTATTTTTATTATTATTATCGGAAATCATCAAAATGCATTTAATTTCATCCTAACAAGGCTTCAACTTAAATCTACCTTAAATAAGCCACAGCTCTTCAAAAAAATCTTATGAAGTAAATAAACTGAAACAGGGTACGAGGGCATGTATATATTTTGTATGTCTCGAAAATTTGACCGATCGATATTTCGTTCCGTTGGGGGGGGGGGGGGCGTAAGGTCACCTTTGTTGCTGACACATTAGCACAATTTTTTTTTTAATTAAACAAAAAATTGAGGAGGATTTTCCTCCAAAACACACACGCAGAAAAAAAAAAGGGGCGTTCAAACCCCACCCCCCCCCTGCGTACGCACCTGACTGGCTCTATAGCTCGATCTTAAGTCGATTCGACAATAGTAGATTTTTCCCCTACTTAAAGACTTTTTCAAGCCCCCCCCCCCCCCCCTTTTCTTAGGGAATTTCTAAATTAGTATATCTTTCTAATGCCGGTGGAATTTAACCTTTTCATTTTTTGGGCTCCAAATGGTACCTTTAATAGCAGTCAGGTAAAATATTTTTAAACTAATGAAAAACACGGGGAAGGAGCACATGCCTTCTGACCCCCACCCCCCCCCCGAATAAGTTTCTGAAGTGAAAATTAATGTACTCACGTAGATCAGCCTCACATAAGACGCTGTGTGGCGTGACACACGTCTCAGATTGAAGAACTGTACCACTCACAATGATTACACATCCGTTATTGTCCTGAAAGATACATCATTAGTAAATCAATTATCAACATCAACAAATAATATGTAGTTTAAAGGGATAGTTGAGTTCTGTTTTCAGACCGCAAATGCCTTCAAAGTGCATGCTTATTGCTCTTATTCTTATCTATGACATTTCTAGTGCCCTTTTAAAACCTAAAATTGCTATGAAGGTAATTTTAGAACCCAAAATGTGTGAAATTTAGCAAATACGATCATACCAATTTAGCTCCTCTTTCAAAAGAATACGGTGACCGTTAAATAATTAATTAATAAAAAACAACAATACATGGCCGGCTGGTTGTGCGTAATATAAACAACACGAAAATGCCAAAAAAAAAAAAGCCAACATCGTCATTGGCTAAAATACGACTTAAAAGGCGCTATTTCGTTTTTTCAACGGCTTTTTCAAATTATCTAATATTTGTGATGGTACACAAGTATTAGAAATCGTTATATTTATGGATATTTCAGCCGTCTCTGAACCGATTTTTAACAAACAAAGATGATTTTGTCATTTAAATTGAATGTTCTTTCAAATTCGACACTCAGTTTCTCATTATCTCACAAAAAAATATTTTGTGTAGCGCCCTCTGCAACAGAACTCAACTATCCCTTTAATTAAGCTTGTACCAACCTGTGGACTTTCTCAAGCCGAGTGCATGATTATCATGTTAATTTACACAGTTTCTTGCTGCCTGCTGCCTCGAGATCGCTGGAGGTTATAACGAAATTGTTTGAATAATTACTTGGTTTGCGAACGTCCAGGAGTGGACGAAAGCTTGCCTACTACATGTTTAGGTTGATAGAAGCTTAAACAACATATTAGAATTACTTCAACGATAATATTGATTTTTGTTTTCTTAATGAGTTTATCATATGACTCTCAAATGATTTAACATTAGTG